CGCTGTCAGGCGCTGATTAAAACGAAGTTGGCTCAAGTACATCCGTCAGTTGTTCTCAGTCAAGTCACGCATTTGGATTCAGCTCGTTTCGGGGGTTCCCCCCTTTTTCCATTCCAGGGTTTTTTTTTATTTTATTTTTACATTTAGTTGTGAGCCTTTGTCTCTGCAGTGCATTCAATGCTATCTGTCAGCGGCATGCGAATCCATTTGATTTACTTTTTCCTCTTAAAGAAATCAAACTTGAGAATGTCGACCGTAGGTCGTCACTTGGATATTTTTTGGGTGTGCGGGTGGAGACCGGAGTGAGCTTTATTACTGCTGCACTGCCTGCGAAGGTTTTACGCTTTTGTTTCACGTCACAAAGGAGCGCCGCAGGATATAGACAGAGCACAGTGGGACACACTGGAAGGACTTTGAATAATAATGTTTTAAAAAATAATATGAGTAATATTATTGGACTAATAAATATAAATTAAAAACATGAACTTTACATTACATTTTTGAATTATTATAGTCTAGTATTATTATTTTTACTTTGGACTTTTGAAACATTTCTTCTAAAAGATATGTGCATTTGATTTCAATTCCATTTCGAGATTATATTTCTCATTTGGCCTGAGCACTGGCTTTTGATTTTTTCTTTTGCCGACTGAGACTGTCTCCAAAGAAAATTCCGAAATACGAATATGACATCTCTGCTGTCAGGCGACTTTATTATCTAGACTCTGGCGAGTCGAGGCAAAACGGATCTGAAGTGAACTGAACTGGGCTGTCAGTTGCAGGCGATTCCCTTCGCTGACTCTGCCACAATCGAAGGCCTGACTTTGCATATACACAGTACTATATATAGTATATATATTTGGCTTAATCCTTGGAGAGCTGTCCACCTTTTTCGTGTCGAAAGTATGTGCAGGAGGGGGGGCCAACTGAAATGCCACAATTACGATTTAAGATTGCCCGGCACAAATAATTCCATTTGGTCACGTGTCATAAATACAGTTGGCAGTGGTTTTTCCAGCACGTTTTCCCGGCAACTTTCCTTGCACATATGCCATGCCATTTTCGGGGGCGGCGAATCTAATTTTCCGCAGATTTCACCATGGACTTTTGTGCCCAGACAATGACCTCGTCCTGACCGCAGATACTGCAGACCGAAGACCAGAGAGCGGAGTGCATCGGGCGGTTGGCTTACTTATCCTTGTCGCTCGGCTGGACACGGGATTGGCCCCATTGCTACCTCGCCCGAATCTAATTTGCATGTCCCTCCACCTAGGCTCAAGGACTCCCCGATGACTTGGCCAGAATCGAATGGCCTGTCGGTGCCGGGACTCGTTTTGTGCTAGCCTGCCTAACCCAAATGACGTCCCTGTCTTCGATGCATTAACCCACAAAGTGTAGATACAGATGCAGCTGCAGCTTTAGCCATAAAATTGGCCCAGCCAGGCGGATTTAAGTGCCCGTCGGTTGACAGATTGAGCCAGTTTCGGTCAAATCGAGAGGCTGTCGAAATTGGAGTCGATTGCCAGGACGAGAGTTTCCACCGCAATCTTGTAAATTGGCCACAGTGAGGTGCTTGGCAAGGTTTAAAGTTAAATATCCCAAAATACTTGATATCTTCTATGTACATTTTTGGTTAATTGATTGCTTGCAATTTGCCAATCGAAAGAAGATACGTAAAACATTTAATCCACTTATTACATGCTAAATATTATTGCTTCATTTTAAACGTTTTCGTGGTGGCATTTATCATTGCCAGCAGATCCTCTCTCACGCTTTTAGCCAGCCATAAATCTTACCGACGGCATTGTCCTGCTGCTACTGCCTTTTGCTTTTGCGTTGCAGCCTTTGAAATGCCAGTTCAAGTTGCCCCATAAGTGGCTTAAATGTTGAATTTCAAATACAATGCGAAAGGGTTTAAGGGGGGATGAGGGCGGACAGGGGGAAAAAAAGGAGAAAACTAAAACAGGACACATGGCCATGCCGGATGAGGGCAGGACGAGCTGTTCGCATTGTGCCGAGTGCCAAGTTATGGGCCTGGCCTCCTCGCATCGCCATCGCCATCGCCGTGTGCCATGAATGTCCTTATAAATTGTCTGCAATGTTAAATGTTGCATGTGTCTACCCCCTAGACAGCCCAACTCCTACACAGGAAAAAAATCATAGGATATATGAATTAAATCAAAGTTTTAACTTATCGATATTACAGCCTTACTATGTCTTGCAAGATCTTGAAAGTTAAGATATGATTTTGTATTGTCTCTCAAGACTTATTTAAGTCTCTTCGATGACTGATTTGTTAGCTTTTACCGATAATAAAATCATATATTTAACATTTAAATTGTTAATATTTTTATGGTAAAGTATTATGTACTAAATTTATTTCAGTGCTTCTACCAATTTCTAGTTCTTGCTCGTGTGGGTTGGTTGCCTTTGACTTTGGCTGCAGTTTTGCCTGCAGCTCAGGAATTTATGGCTCTGCCTCTGGCACACCACTATGTGTGTGTGTGGGTGTGTGTGCTGGTGGGTTGTTGTGCCTGGCTGTAAGCTGGTGTGCCGGTGTGTGGGCCACTAATCAGCACACGTTTTAGTTCTGCCGTTGCAGGAAGTGGAAGTTGAAATTGTTAAAAGCAATAAAGCTAATAAGTGATGTGGCAAATGTGCGGCCTCGCTTTGGTTTCTCTGCCTTTTGCAAGTGAGACTGTGCCTAGGTGTGTGTGTGTGTGTGAGAAAAGCAGGGCATTTCCCAGTTCCCAGTTCCCATTTTCTATTTTCCATTCCCATTTCCCACCCCACTTCCCCTTCGTGAATGAGTGAAGCTGGCACTCGCCATTCTGTTCACGTGTCCATCGCTAGTTTTCGAGTCCGTTTCCACTGCCAGCACGGGAAATCAGCAATTAGTTGCAGACCCAACGCCCCAAGCACAAGGACCCGGTTAAGAGCGATTACCGGGGTGTAATAGTGGTCACAATAATAGGTCTTTTACAGCATTAAAGATTTTATAGAATCAACAGGGCGTATACGTAATTTTATAACAATTTATTGCCTTCTAGTAAGTTAAATAAGTTGTAAAAGTCTATCATTCAATTCTTAACCAATCATATTTTATAAAAAATTAATAGAAAAAGCTGCTATTACTTTGTCCTCCTTTGTGCATGTGTGTTTGGGTGGCTGTACGCTTCAGTATGTGTGTGTGTTCGTAGCGGGCACGCATTTCCGTCAGCGCCAACTACTTCCGGCCGCTCAGTGCACTTTGACTTGGCTCCTGCCAGGACACTTGGATACTTGGAAGTCAGGACCAGGAGCCAGACCAGAGGCAATGCCAGTGCCAGGACCAGAGCCAGACGCCTTCCCTCCATGTTTGCCCAGCTTTTGAGCCACCCCGCCCGCCCGTTCTGGGCTGTGTAATTTTATGACTAATTAGTCAGCTAGTACGTCAAGTTGGTAACTACATAAACAGCGAAACGACGACTCCGTTTAGCCAAAGTCTATGGTCGATCGTTGGGCGTGGCCATTTATTTGCCTTGCTGCGCTTTTAATTGCTTGCAAGCAATTTCTTTAGCCTTTTTATGGCATGTCTCGGCTGGCATTACAGCAACAGCAGGAGCAGCATCTCTACGGAAGCAACATCTAGGAGGAGCATGGAGTTGCAACACCAACACAGCCCCCGGTGTGTCTACAAAGTTGAGTTGCAGTTTTAGTTGGCTCTGGCTGTGTTTTGTTTTATTTTCCCTTGCTTTTCATTGTTGCCCGCTTTTTTGCATTCTTTGTTCTTGTTTGGCTTTGTGTAATTTTGCATCATAAAACACACAGAGGGAGAGAGAGAGCACAATGCACAGACCACGGAAGACATGAAGCCGTCTTTCAGCAGCCTCTTTGTGGTCGCTTAAAGATGACTTTAAATCGGTTAATGAAGCTCTGGGCACCAATATCCAACTTACTAGTTTTATGGTTAGGAACAGCAAAGAGTGTGACTTGAACCACATAGTATAAAATAATATTTAGCAGCTAAGATGAGATATAAGTAAGAGTAATCCTCACTGGGAGTTATTAATCCAAGAAACAGGAAAGTAAAAGTACGCCAGGCACTGTGAAATATTGTCAAATTAACAACTGACCAAAGGACGACAAATTATTTCCGCTTTCCAAATGAGCCACTTCCGTGGCAGGACCACACCCATCACTTCCCCAAAAGTCAGAGGAAAGTTGTGCCAGGACATTGGCGTGTTGAATTTAAAAATTCGCGCCACATACACGAAAAACTTGAGCACGGGGCCAAAAAAAAAATAAAAAATTTAAATGACAAGCAACTAATGGGAATTGCCAACAATTTTGCAGGGGAAGAAGGGAAGGATGACGGCAGGTGGCGCAGAAGTTTGCCACCTCTGGCCAACCTTTGCATCGAAAATCAGCTAACAACACAACAAATGGCTTCATTTATTTGCGTCTTTTGTGCGATGTTGCACGGAACTTCCGGCCACCAGGTGGAAGGTGGAAAGACAAGGACGCGGAAAAGTAAAAGCAGCTAAAGAAATTCTACCAAGTGGCGGGGTAGAGGGCCAGATCCTTCCTTCCCAGCTTAGATACCGGCTTCGTCCGCCCCCTTCAAATCTGTAAGTGTGCAAAGTTTACACTGAAAAGGTTGCCGCCTCCGCGAGCAGCAACGAGGAGCGTAAAGAAACATAAACTATTTATATATATATAGAAGCAAGTTGCAGCTGCACTTTGCAGTGATTGAATGGCCAACACCGACAGCCGTTAATGTGCTTGGGGTTTTTCATTGAGATAAACTTTTTGGTTGGCCGGAAAGACCGCAGGAAAGTCGCACTTTAAAGTTTTCGCTTTCGGCAAACGGAACTTTAGCCACCAGAGAAACCAAGAGGTTTCCTCCGACTCTGAAAAGCATAAATAAATAAGGAAATACAATTAGAAGATTTGGAATAATTGCAGCCTGCTTAAAATTAATTATATGCTGCTTCATAAACATAACTTTATGCTGAATTGGTTTTGATAAAATGTTTATTGTTTTCAAGAACACTTTTCCATCGCAATTTGGCTGCGATCTGCATTCAGCTAGGCTATACTAGGTTTGTGTCTCTTCGAACTCCAGTCATTATTTATTAACCTTTTTAGATCCATCTCCTCCAAATTGACTCTCATGCAAACGTCTATGAATAGGCACAGGTCCAGGTTCTTCATTTTCTTGGCCAACTTAAAGGCTTCGGTTAGGGTATTTTTTTCGCGCTCGATCTTGCCCAGAATTGCATGTGATTTACAGATGATCATCAGACTCAGGAAGCTCCACACATCACTATTACACTTTGTAGCCTCTGTGGGAGAGTATTTTTAAGGATTTTAATTGTATTTTTTCTGACCTATAACTCACCCTCCAGAGCCCTGCGGGCCATGGAGCAGGCTGCATCAAATGAATGGTAATCGAGGTGCGCCTGAGCCAGTTCATGCAACAAATAAGCGCGTTCCAGGGGATACTCAGCGAATCGCATTCGATTCTCCATACGAGCTACTTGTTTCCTATAGCAAAAATAAAGTTTATGAAATACTAATATATTTTTCTACACATTTTTTTACTCACATAAATTTCTCTGCTTTGGGATCGGTTGTATTGGTTCGCGGTAGATTAATCCTATTCGGTCGCTTCGTATCCTTATTATTCTTATTTGGCAACCCAAAAAGGGTCAAAAGGCGTTGTCTACCCTGCAGAACCGTCACATTGCTGGGAATTTTGTATTCATTAATGCGGGCTAAACCCAGGTAGTTATAGACCTCATTAGTGAATTCAAATCTCCATGGCATTATGCGGTGTGTTTTGGTAGTGACATAGTCACCCATGACTCCTTCAATGAACGTTGTCAGTTTCTAAAAAGGAAATTTAAATTATAATCGATTCCAAAGAAGTCTCTCTATAAAGATTCATTACTTAAGTCAATCTAAAATACATTGTCATAGTCGTATTATTGGGCATTACTTTAAATTGAAGGACTTTATGAATTATATAATAACTTAACTTAACTTTTATATTTCTTAAAGTTGTAGAATAACAAAAACTTACATTAAGTTCACCAGCTCGTATGAGCAGTCGAATGGTGCGCAGGATCTTGTAAACATTTCTTCTCGTTTGGTGCTGAATTCGGTATAAATTATCATCCTTTTGCTTGTTGTAGAGTGTCTCACTAGTAAACTTTTGCTGATGTTGAGCGTACATAGGACACCGAGTGTGCAGCATTTTCTGGTAATAAAATAACAAGAATTATACATAAGCAACCGGATATTAGCAGCTCAAACCGTCAAAGTTCGCGCTGACTTGTAGTTGAATTCCAACAATTTCTTCAAATGCATGGATGATTCTTTGCAGTGTTTTGGATGCACATTGGAATCACTTCGTAGATTCCTCAGAAATTCCACATCCACCCAGGCTCTGTTTAGATATGTTGCGTTATAAATCTTGAAATACCGATCGCGTCGGGCTTTCTCCAGTGGAGATAGATATTTTTCCTAGGATTCAAAATTAAATGTGATATGGTTTTGGAATCGAACTCAATGTATAGGAACCTCTTTCTCCATTACGCTGACCACATCGCAGGGATCCTTGAGATCCTTGGGCTGATTGGCAAGTTTATCCATCATGCGTTCGACCAGCCGCTGAACTGGTATTGCAGTCTCGTCCGACAAAACGTCATGGAAGTTCTCATCCACCTGGAATTAAAGAATATATTTTACATATATGTGATATATTTTCTTCCAAGAAATCTCCTGAGCCTGATTGGACTCATTTAACTTACCACATTTAGACGATTGACAACGGGCACTGCATTAATTGAGCTAAAGCGCCTCAGATGGCCATGCAGATTTATTTTGGTGTCTTCCAAACGACTCGACTCGTAAAGGGCATCACTGACCTCCAAACTGGTGTGGAGACTGACAACCGGTGGCTGTTGCTTCATCAGCAGAGCTGTAAGTGGAAAGAAGACTTGGATGATCTTCGACGAGTCCTACCAACACCCGATCTCACTTTCTGCCTTGGTGCAATCCTTTACGGCCTCTGGAGCCAGACCCATTGTCCGCTTCAGTTGGCTTCGGCGCATCAAAGCCCTCGCATCGAAGGGATTAAGATCCAAGGAGTTGTCCACATAGCCGAGCGCGCTTGCGAACCTACGCTGGCGGGATAGATACAGACCCCAGTCGGAATGGATGCTGGCCTGGTGAACTGCAGACCAAGGATTTATCTCCCAAGGTCGCAGATGCGGCTTCACTGCCGGCCCTGGTGCCTGGAGGCTTTCGGATACGCTTAAACGATTGGACATGGCTTGTTTTTCTAAGATATCAGAGATCGCAATCAAACAACAAACAAAGTAGAAACAGTGGGTATAAAAAAACAGGTTGTGTTGTGTAACGAAGTTAGTTTTCTTTTTATAAAGTGACGTTTAAGGTACAAACTTGAAACACACAAACCTAAGGATCGAGAGATTTTATTTCCGCTGAAACCTGTAATCTAAGAACTAAATGTTTTGCAAACAAAGACTACCTCAAAGATATTATTCATCGAGCAAATTCCTGGATTCTAAAATTTCCCAACTCTGGCTCATGGCTTTTGGTGCTCGGTGAAACATAATCAGCGTCTTACGAGATACATTACCACAAGCCGAGCCTCACAGCGAGCTGAGAAAAATGTTTTCCCAACTTGTAGCCCAACTTTGTGGCACTAGTGGGGTTTCCCCGGGATGGACGGTAGTAGCAAAGTTGCTTTAGCCAGGGCTCTTATCCAATTAAGTCATAACTCAATATGTGCTGAGAGATATGCACTTGGCCATTACTTAGGCAAAAGGCAAAAATTTGCTCTAATAACTTTTGAGTTTGCGCTTTCTTCCGTCTTCTTTTGCCGACGCTTGCCAGGAAGATAATTTTCACACCATCGCCATGTAATTTGCCCTTCTGGGGCAAAGTTGGTTTTTTTTTTTTGGCCAGCAAATTTTAGTTTATGCAGAGCAACAGCTTCCCATCTCCGCACCTTCAGTCTCTGAGCTGCTGCTCCCTTTTTCCAGCTTCCCTTTTATGGCACCAGCGAGACGCTGCCACAAGTCATTTGGCATTGACCAGGATTGGACGTTGCCGCAGTCCTCCGTGACTGTGTCTACGGGCAGGGCTACTGGGATGCATCCAGCAGTATCCAGTATCCAGTATCCAGTCTCCGAGTCCAGCCACCCGGCTGTGCTCCATCCACATCCGTAGCCCACATCCATCTGCCGTTGAGAGCGAGCGCGCATAAATTATTCATTTGTAATGTGCAGCATCTCTGGTCCTTAGTCCTGTACAGAGAGAAAAGTCTGGATAAGCATTCTACATTTCCATTGATATTTGAGAAGAAAAATCCAATCTCTTCATACCTAATTTAGAACTAATTAGAGGCAAAGGACTGTTGTTAAACTACTCCACACAATACTGTGATTTAATTTTACAAAGATATTAATGAAAACCAGTTCTATAAAGTCTTTTCCCTCTGTGCAGTCTCAGTGCCAGGATCTGGAGTCTGAGAGTCTTGGGCCAAAGTTCTGTGTGCACTTTTGGCACAGGATATGACACTGACACTCAGCGCCGGCGCTCGTCCTGCGTCAACAACTTCCTTGGCTGCTGCTGGCGTTTACTTTGGTTTGTAATTTCCTACTGGAGCTAGGGCCGTGGGTAAAAGAAAAACAGCAAGAAATGGCATGAAAACCCCAAGAAGTGTACGGGAACATGACGATTGCAGCTGGACCTCCCTTCCTACCCAGCTCGTCCTTTTCTGGTTTACCGCTCTCCACCGGGGAAACTGCTCCTGCTGCTCCTGCAGCTTCTGCGGCAATTGCAAACTTTAAAGTTTGCTCTCCTTTTTGTGTGTGTGCGTCAAAAGTTTCATTTGTGAATTGAAAAATTATTTCTAGTTGCATACATGCAGAGTGTGTCATTTGCAGGAGGGTCGCCCAGGACCTCTGAACTCTGGCAGCGAGGCGAGCAGCAGCCAAGCTCATTGACAAAATAGAAAGTTGTTGACTCGGTTTCCTTTCCAGTTTTCCGAGCATAAGTTTTTTTTTTTTTTTTTTAGCCGGCAACGCTTTTAATTACACGCACACATCCCGGGCCCGCTTAAATTTTAATACAAGGTCTGGTGGCCTGATCTCCTCCTCAAACCGTAAACAGTGGTGAAGCCCCACACGGAGCGACATTAATTAATTAAAAAACGTAATGGGGTGAGGTCTAAGGCTCTGGCTAAAGCTAAAAGAAATGAATAGGTGGCTCCGGCATGCAATGTGCTCACACCTGGCTTAAGTCGTGTCACCCTGGCAAAAGTTAATTGCCCCAGAATAAAATCTAGAGTAACGTAATCTAATAATAAGGAATTATGCAAGTTTTTAAATAACATTATTCTAAATGCAATTACGGCTTTAAATTGAAGCTAACTGGGCACGTAGTTTGGCAACTTTAGGAAACTAAAATTGTGCATACTTTTGGTTGAAATTAAGTAAATTAAGACGAGTATGGCACACAACGAGCAGGAAATGTATAATAAATATATGTACAAATTCTTCTAACTCAAACCTATTTTATAAAAATAGAAATATGTAACATAATGCTTCTGTTTAGTTTAGACACTGTTTTTACTCTAGGAACAGTGAATAAATAATAATTAAGATTAATGTTTGTTCAGCTCATTCATCTTTACTTTATTTCTATAAACTCTATATAATTTTTCATCCTTGTATTTAATGTCTGTGGATTTTATGTTTATTCAGGTTTGTTTTTATAAAAACAAGATAAGGTGTTCGTTCCAATATATATTTTCAACAAACATACTTCATACATACTTCATTTCAAGTTTACTGAAATATTTTTTGTTATTTTGCTCTAATATTTCTTTTATTAGCTACATTTTAATATTAACTAAGCTCCCTGCCCTTCTCAATCTTCGCTTTATTAAAGTAAACCGCTCAAAATTAGCACCGATTCTAAGCATATTTTTAATTCAGGCAGTAGTTTGATTTGAAACGACTTTGTTGACTCCGCTTGACCACAAATTTGTCAACAGGCATGGCAACCGCACACACATACACCGAAATCATGGCCGAAAGCCGCAGACACGCACGTGCCATGCTAAACCGGAAACGGAAACACGCCATGTGAGTGCCAGCGAGAGCGAGTGTGTGTTTGTGTGGCGTTGTTTATTGACATTTGCACAGTCTTTGGCAATTATTTAGTTACAGCTTGTTTATTTGTGTCGACGTAAAACGGATGCAAAACTTTACTGCTTTTAAATGTTTTTAGAAAACAAAACAGCAAAAAAAAATCAGAAACTGTGGGCTACGAATTAGTTTGTGACCCCAAAGCATACAGCGTTCCAACGGATGCACAAGCGAATCAAATAGATAGAAACGGATGCGTGGTGACAGCTCATAAAATTCTTAAATTAGCTTAATTAAAATATATATATGTTATAGTAATTATCTGTTGCTCACACCAGTGGTGTCATCTGATTGTGGGAAGCCCAATTAGGAGGGAAAGCTACTTACTTGGATAGACAAACATTAGCACTGAGAAGTTTTAATAATATTATAAATATTCCACAAAATATATGTATTATACTCATAATAAAATACAAAATTTGCAGTGCTTAAAGTCCTTGTTCCATAATGAACAGTTCAAATATTTAAACAATCTAATTGTACTTAATTTTTTCAAGTGGGCTGTCAAATCAGAGAATCTCTCTCTCTTAACTCATAACCATGCCAGTGCTCGCCTGCATGTGACAGGACACTGCCTAATTAAAATGGCAAATCGTCGGCCACAAACAAGGACTTTGGCAACACTCGTTGGATGTTGGCAACAAAAACAAAAGCAATAGAAGCAGGAGCAGCGGTACAAGCAAATTGAGATGCAAATTTATGCACCGTCTGGTTAAAAAAAAAAAAAAAAAACAACCGGAAAATGACCGAAAAACCCAAACCCTCTCATCGAACCCCAAAAACGAACCATTCAAATCATGCGAATCTGCACACACAAACTCGTACCACATTTAGTGGCAGATACATTGGCACATCTGCGTTACTTTACACTGGCATCCATGATGAATTTGACTGCATTGCCTGCTGGCCAGTTTCGAAAATAAATTTAAATTTGATTAACGATTTCTGGGGCCAACTTTGGGCTGCGGACTTGTCGCCCCAAACGAAAATTGATTGGTGGTTGGCTTGATTCTCACCAAAAAACAACTTTTACGGTGGCAAAACTTTATGCGGTAATTAATTTTCATATGCTTTAGCGGGTCAATACTGCAGTTGCATAGCCATTCATTAAATTGGCAGTAATAGTATAGTTTTTGCATTCAAATGACCTTTAGAAAACCATCATTAAATTTGTCTTTCTTCTTGTTAAATACAGTAACAGTTTTTGTGGACTCCCATGTCCATGTGTCTCAGTAGTGCAATGTAATAGCACTGTGTGTGGTCTCTGACAGGCTCCGCGAGAACATCCCACTCAAAGGGACTTATATGCCCACTGGCCAAAGGACCATTGAAGTCCTGTCGGTGGTCTGGCGGCGATGGCAATGTTTCGTCGAGGGTCCTGCATGATGGCGCGCATCTCTCCTTCCTGTTTATGGCTGACCGACACTTGTCATACTCCGTGGCATGTAAAAATGGATGACCCTGGATGGCTCCACAGCGACTCGCAGTGGAGCATTGCATTTTTAAAGAGAGAGAGAGAGAGCGAAAGAGAGAGAGAGAGCGAGAGAGAGAGAGCGAGCTCGTCGCCAGGCGGTACATAAATTCGGCTGCAAAGTGTCATGTACCCGCACATAGATCAGTGTCCTGTGTCCCCTGTCCGGCATGTGGGTTCAAGATACCAATGCGGTGGACTAGGCTTCTGGCTTCTAAAAGAGTCATTTTGCGGTTTGGCAATTAAGTCAATGTTAACGATGCCGACACCGAGACTCCCACGTAGACACAGGCACAGATTCAGGTCCAGATAGACTCACAGATAGAGATACAAAACAGTCGGACGAGACACATTCGTTTTCGGTGGGGCAAAAATACGTAGGCAGCAATAATTAATTAGATACACAATAAATTACTCATACGCCAGCGGCAGCCCGCAAGTAAAAAGAGAGAGGAAAAACGAATCTATTTGTGTGTGAGTTTTTCTTTTTATTTTGCCAAAGGCTGGCAATGATGGAGCATGTGGGAGCCGCAGGACTTGCCAACAATTTATGTTGAATTTTCAACCTCTGGGTATTTGTTAGCATACCAGGTTATTCATGGCCAGACACTCACATGAGTAATCAAGCCGGGGAAAGTATGTGAAACCAGATTGCTCTCTCTTAGCTAAGCTGAAAAAAAGTGCAAAATTTAATGAAAGAGGTGTATTTTGAGGTAATATGTTAGTTATTTCATCAAGCATTTTGTGTATATACGAGGAAATTATAAAGACTTCACTTTACATATCAAGACTTTTCCTACAAATAAAGCACTTTAATTTTCCTCAGTGCATTAAAGAGAGATGCTTGTGGAAAAAAACATTAAGGAAGCAACTCAGAAATCACAGGACAAAGTGAAGCCGGCGGAGACTGAAATAAAAACGGCGCAGATTGCATGAGAGACGAGGAAATACGACAACAGAGAGCACGGGCAAAGGCAACAAGAACTATAATTTCCTAAAGGACTTAATTATTTTATAATAAGCACATGGCGCCGGGATGCTGCGGGAACGGAGAGGGGGGGCTTTAGCCCGACTAAAGTCGGCAAAGGACGAAAGGATGCCGCGCAAATGCAGCGCAAAAGTTGCAAAAGTTTTTCTCCACTCGACAATCGGTCAAAAGCAGTGGAACGAGGTGAATCGCCAGAGGGGAAAAGTAAAATCTCGACCATAAATAGTGAAAATATTACAAATTCTTGTTTTCTTTCTTCGAGCTGCGCCAGAAACCCCCAAGCTTTGGTTTTATTTACTTTTTTTTCGTTGTTTGTAATAATGAATTTATGGTTGGATGAATTTAAGCAATTAATATTGATTTGCAAGAGTTGTTGCGGTTCTTTGGCCAGCATTCGGTTACGGTTCTTAGCCAGGTTCAAGATGTGGCCAAGCAAGCGTAAATCGAAAGAATAAATATGTACTGAGAGGAGCTCTGGAGTAAACAGAAAACGCAGAAGGGAAAAACCCCGAGGAATAGAGAATTTCCCCTCTGGCATAATCTTCCATTTAAATACTTTCCTCGCCTTCCTATTAGCTGCACATTAATGTTGACTTTGTCTTATTTAATTAGCACTTGAGTCGAATCTCGATTAAAGCCTCATTTGCATAAACTTCAATCTCTCGCCGCTGAGGCGACGAAATTTCCATTTCAGGGCACTCTTGCCATAACATTAAGCCTGCATAAATTCGTATTACGCATACGCCCAGTGTGCCGGCGCCCAGGGCCTGCGGCAAACACGGACAAACATTTAAACACTTCAAAAACAATATAAATTCATTCAGAGCACGGCCAACCATATCCCCACTATAACCATAAGCAATAAAACACACAGACCACCACGCAGACATCGGATAGGCCAGGCCAACAACAATGCCGCCAACAATGCATAAATAAAGACCAATGCCAAACAATTGATACTTTGGCCAAAGGGAACAGAGAGAGAGCGAAAGCTACCATTGAACAATTTGTACGAATTTATATGTAACCAAAAGAGCAGCGCACAACTAAACATTGAAACAAACATGCCCAAATGTCCTGGGAGTTAGCCAGGATAGTCCCCTGGCCAGTGCAGACACCTAAAAAGAGGCAGGCAATTTGGCTCAGAAATAGTCTCTATTAAATGAAAATAATTAGCTAGTTTCTTGTATTTAATTTAAATAAATTCACTTGTTAAATATACCAATAAGTATTATTTAGATAGAGATTCTTTGAGCGTATATGAATTTAATTAATTTTGTCGTATGCTCTAAATATTTATGTTAAATTAAGTTAGTTTTCGTTATGTTGTACAATTTTTAAGAGATTATTAACACCAATTACTGTAACATAAATAGAAATAGTTGGAAATAGATGTATATTTTTGATTATATAAACAAATTCGATTTATATTTCTCTCGTCGAAGTACAATACTTGTCAACACTACTCTGACATTATTCGCAGCTATATCTCCAGTTTCCTTTCCTGTTCCTTTTCCCCAGCCAAACCCCAACAAATTCATTTGAATTGCAAAACAAACACGAGAACAGACCGAACATTGACGACATTGGGGCTACTATATAGCAGTTGGTCGGGAGTCCGGCTAAAAGGAGCTTAATCATGTTGTAAATTTGCATAATTTGACGTGAGTGTGTGTGTGAGTGTAGACTCAGGAGGGACATCCAATGGCCCAGAGAATATAGCCAAATATATAATGCACCTTACTCGTAATGGCTCCAAATTCTTGCCGACACACAAATAGTTATTTCATAATAAAAAATAGCCTAGAAATTACGTTATTTGTCTAGGCTTAAATTTGAATTTAATTTAGGTGGCTCTGGTGGGAATGGTAGATAGACTTCTGTTTTCGCCTATTAAAGCATATGAAATATTAAACTTTATTATAGATATAATTTACAAATAAAGTAAATAGTGAAATAATTTACATTTAAGTGTTTGTGAGAGCAAATTTGTTTTGTTAGGAAAGATAGATGAATTAAAATATTAGTAAATACCAACGACCAATAAATATTTTAAGAGTTTTTTATGAAATTTTTGTGGTTAAAATCACAAACATTTACCACAAAAACGTATCAATTTATTTCAATCAAAGTTTATTTATGCCTTTTAATCGTCTTAGTATTCGTATTAATGTCAAAATTAAACTTAAATTTTGTGTCAGAAAATAATCCATAAATCATAACGCTTTCATACGCTTAAATGTGAATTTAATTGCGGTAATTAGCACTGCCAGTGGCAGCTTTGGCTCTCCCCGAATGTCACTTCTTATAAACAAGAGTTTTAAACGCAGTTGGATTTGCAACTTTTTCCGCACTCGTGCGGAATGCCATCGTGCCGTCTCATTGCACAATCCCATTCTAAACTGTCATATAAATGTGATTATATTGACCCCCTCGAGAGAACCCACCACACTTTGTGACAGCTTAATTGAAGGATATGCGTGACCACAGTCCGAGTATAGAATAAACGTGTCCTTTTTCCATAGAGCTTTGTTCAGGGCACGGATCACGCATCCAATTGCATTAAATGCGATTACACAATTGATTAGGTTATTATCGAACAAAGAGGTAAATGATTATCTCAATGCAAACACTTTGATATTTGTTTTTCTTTCATTCTTTAAAAGTTTGATTTTAAACTCCCCCAAAAACCCTTAAAGTTGTCACTACGCATCGCCTAAAAACGTTGACCAAAGTTCTTTCCTTTTGCTAACTGAATTGTTCTCCGCGAAATTAACAGCTTCTTGCCCCTTAAAAGCTTGTCAGTTAATAGAAAACAAGTGACACCGCCTCCAGCCAGCTTCATAATTAAGTCCAAATGAACAGGACACCCAATGCAGGCAGCTTGGCCTGACCCTGGCCAAGGAGGGTACGAGTCCAGGACCAGGGCAAGGACCAGGACTAGGACCCGGAGCAGAACCAGTTGAGTACATGCAAGTGTTTGCAGTTTAATGGAATTTTTAATTTCGGCCCCGCGACGATGCTTCTGAGCTGGGGAATAGCTGACATTATTACAAATTTTTTACTATTATTAAAAATGCAGAAAACATTAAAAGCGACACAAAATTTGTAGCCAAAAGTCGTGGCAGGGGCAGCTGAGCTGGGGCAGGATGATTACTTAAGTGGACATGGCTCGCAACCTCCTTCGGAGGTCCGGCATATAGTGCACAAGAAGTTCCAGCAGAAAGACCATGGCACTGGCCATTATGGCTAGAACCAGGGTGAAAAGTGCCGGGGCAAAGTGCTCCAGATCCACATCTGCCTTGGAAGCCTTATATAGGCTGCAGTCTGGCCGTCGCACTATCCACTTCTTGTCATTGTAACCCATAAGTCCGGTGGCCTGAAGATGGAGCAATGCATGGGCAATGTGCTCCCTCCATGGCGAACCCTTGGGCATCACTGATCCCGTGGTGTATTTCGGATTAAACTTAATCTCCTGAAGCTCACAGAACTCTGCCTCGTCCATATGGAGGTCCATCAGAAGCCTGTATATGCGATCGATGGCGGTGTGAAAGGCAAATCGTCCTTGGATAATCCTATCAGCGCCCTGCTGAAGCGTCAGGATGTTGTGCTCGCAAATTCTCTCGGCAAAAACCGTTTTTACGAGCTGGTTACTGGTATTCGTGAATATAGCAAAGTTGTAGGATATATTCTCCATGCCAATGACTAAATTGCTATCGTACAGATCCTGCAGACTGACTATACTCCTTGGACTCTCCGAGAGCAAAGAGCCCACAATGAAGGCTCCGTAGAACTGCATCAACATGAAGCTGAAAATTCCAGTAAAACTGATCAGTATTCTGGTGGAAAATAGTTTAAAAAGCTCAGTAGTAGGTCCCTGCTGAAGGTACGTCTCAAGCATGCTAAACCAGACAAAGGACAGGCGGCCCTCCACCTGGGACCTCTGCAGCCTCCTCTCCAGCCGCACATGTAGGAAGAGGAGTAGAGTACTCCCTGTGACCAGGGCAAGGACACACCACCACACCTGGTTGCTTAGGGGCTCGAAGAATATATTCCGGATGTGGCTGTGTCGCGGATGCCGGAAAATGAAGTGAAGGCTGTGGGTTGAAAATCAGTCAGCGACTCGATTCCAGTGGGATTAGCTTACTCCTGGGTGTGCAACACAGCCGAGTACTGAATGTACGGTTGCCTGTCCAGCACAAAGCGCATGGGGACACGGCAAAGTCAGCGCTGCCACTCAACACCTCACCCATCACTCCGCTCCAGCTGCCATTCTCCTGCAGTTCGCCCCACTTGTCCGTGAAACTGATGGCCAGGCTGCACAGAGAAAAAAAATGGGTGACTTAAAATGTACTTCAAATAGATTCTGGTAAAAATGGGGGTTAAAGAACTACTCATTTTCCTGATGAATTTATCAAAAGTATTTTATTTTAAATTGTGTAAGGTAGATGGTTAATACGTTTAATACTTTTTTGTAAGTGCAAAAACAGCCTCATTAACGGCTACCTTGTTGCTTTTATCTCAGACCCACCTGAGATTGTACATGCTCTCCACAAGCCTGAACAACTGATAGTTCTTACGCTGCATTGGGTCCCGTTCCTGTAGGTGAAATTCGTCAGCCAGGTAGGCCATGTCATCGAATCCAGGAGGCTTCTCTGTTAACTGGAACACATGAGGTGACTGTTGAGTGAAAGTTGAGAGTTCCCTTTTCATGTTTACTCACCACTGTGCTGCCGTGCAAGGTGATTTGTCCAAAGTTTCGTCGACGAATCACCCAGGTTTTTTTATAATTATCCAAAAGCTGGTAGCCTCCTGAGGCAGTCCATTGACCCTTTTTTTCAATTATCAGGGGGGTCGGTACTCGGGAGCTGATGCGGTAAACATCGTAAAGCAACCAGGAAGTGCTGACACTACAATGTGCATTTTAATTTTTGAAAATATTCCGCAATATTGTATATACAAACTCACTTATCCTGAGGCCGCAGAACCACCGTGATGTCCGCATCAATTCCCATGCTGTAGCCACTGAAGTGCTCCTCAATCAGCCGCTCGTCTGGCTGGGATTCGGTGTTGGAGCCAAGAAGAAACCACGCCAGCGAATTGTTAAAGAACCCTGCCTCAGAGGCAGCCCGAAGGACATGTTGCCTCACAAGGATGTGCCTTAAATTCAACACCAGGACCGCTGTGCGCGGCGACCCATAGAACATGAGGTCCTCGAAATTCTCTGAAATTCCTGGCCGGTAAAATTGCACGCGATAGTTGGACAACAATTTCTGGTGGCATTCAACTTGCCAGTCGCCATCGGCATCGCCGTTGCGGACGACCAGGACCTGGCTCAAGTGCTGCGAGCGCAAAAAGTCCTCGAAGGCGGCCAGCTCAAGGAAATTGGTATTTATGCTTTCAATTTGCGGCACGCATAAAAATGCTGTTAAAATTATAAAAAGCCAAGAAATAACTTTCACTTGCAACTTAATCATTTTATATGGCCACTTTCACACCGTCTCTCTCAGCGCTTCGGCTTGTGTTTGCTTTTGTGCTGAGCTCTTGGGGTTTTTATAGGGTTCCATTCCTACCACCACCCGACTGTGTGTGCATAATTTATACACATTTATCATATCGGTATATCCTGGACTCACGCAAATTGTTCGCTTGACAAGAAAATTATCGCCAGGATGCATAAATATGTGTGTTTACGTTGAATGAAGGGAATGTCACTATTGTGCAGCTGTGACTCCAATTAAATGTAAATTATTTTCAGGAAACGCACCATTTGCAGGAAACGAAAACTGAAAGGGTATTGTGTAGTATGAAATTGCATTAACCAACCAATTTATTGTCATTTAATTAAATCGTTCTTTTAACTATTTATATACATAATATCGCTATGACGATATATGTCCGCAAACTGTTCACCGCATCGATCAAAAATTGTTCAACGTCTTCTCCTTCGACTTCTCTTGGTATACCTAGGATAAAGTAAGCTATCCTTTTGCCGGCATATACCAGGAAATCCAATAACTAGACGCAACATTAAGCAGGACAAAGCTGGTGGCATTAGCGTGACATTATCCAACTGCAGCCAAGAAGCTGCGAGAAACGGCAGGAACGCGTGTTAGTATCCACGAAAAACGGAGCCAAGGTCCTTGGCGTGTGTCCCCCCTGTGAGTGTGTGTGTGTGTGTGAGCGCCCCGGAAAATGTTGCGAAACTCGAAAGCAAATCCTGCAGCTTGCAACTTAATTTCATGGCACGCGGCATGCAACTCGCTGGCAACTTCATTCGGGCAATTTGCCCCACGACAGCTTGCCACGTGCCAGAGGAGGAGGAGGAGGAGGCTGGAGATGATGGGATGGTCGGGTCGAATCGGTGGCCAGATAGAGTCCTGCAAGGACTTTAAGACTGCACCGAAATTAAAAGGAATTACATTCAATTTGTTGACTCTTTTTTTTGTTGCGGATGCGCAGCTTTCCCCCTTTTTGTTTTGTCTCATCTCCTTAGCTGACTTTCGCCGGTAATGACACAAAACATTTTGTGCAAGGCCACATGCAAATGAGCAGCAGAAAACTGAAACAGCAGCGACAGGAGCAAGGCCATTTAAATGTATTCATTGTGTGAGCAGGGGAAATTCGCTGGCATTTTATCGCAAGATTTTCCATCGAAAACGCGAGTTGCCTGCTAAAAGATTCTTGAGAACCAAGGCACATCACACATGCGGGAAAGCACCGAGAAAGGTGATAAAAATAAAAGTGCGCATACATATACTCAAAGAAAAGGTCGCTAACAACCATTTACAGACGTTTAAAATCGGGTTTCTTTCATTTTAAAATTAATTTGTAGATAAACATTTATCTCTACATATTTTTATATAATTTTTGCTTTATACGATATTATTTTACACACTTAAATTAAGTTTTAAGCTTTGCTGAAGCCTTGGCTTAATATTTCTTCTACTTAATTTATTGTTTATAATACTTCTCTTTAAATTCTAAGCATGTACTCTAGGCTCTTTCACAAATTGCATGCCCCAGTCCCAGGGAACAGCACAAAATAAGAAACGAAACATTTTAATTAATTTCGCTGCCAAAACAGAGGATATTATTATTATTATTATTAAATAAGATTCTCGTCAAAAAAATTACAATTTTTGTTCGCTCTCCGCTTTATTTTCTTGATAATTATTTTTACCTTTTTAACTGTGGGGGATTTTAATTGTAGGTAAGTACGCTGGCAACCGACAAAACTTGTCCATGGGCCAAAATAAAGGCAGGCAACGAAAAAGGAAACGGAAAATCCCTTGGAGCCATGGAACAAGTCTTGGAATAAATCCCTCGAAATGACGACAACAATATGCGACTTTTACTTTTCAGTCCGGGACTCGGTAAGAATATTGAATTAAATTTACTTTAATTATACGCATTCTTCAACTTTTATATTGTGAATACTATGTAAATTTTTGTCAACTGTTTTTGAAACAAGTCAATGTAGAATATGCAGCTTCTTTTTAGAATTGTATTAAACTCACAAGTAGATATAATTATTTCATTAACTGTAATACTTTCAAAGCCGACAATTCCTACTCCAATTATTGCTGGCTAAAACTTTGGTCCATTCCTAGTTTCCACTCTTAATGCTGGCGCAAACCTTTATTTGCCAAAGGCATTGGGGCGAAAATTCCCCGTACAGCTGGGACTGGGCCGCATAAAGTCAACTCATTATGAAATTACTGCTAAAAACTAAGCTCCCCGAATGGGAAAGAGAAGCGACGATGGAAATGACTGGCAAGTGGAGAAGAAAGCCGGCGAGGAAAACAAATTAAATTTAATCGATTTGTGAAAAGCTGCCAGACAACAACAAAGGCAAGAGGAGTGGCGACTCCAGATGGGTTGCATGGTAAATTAAGTGTGGGCGTGTCCATACTGCAGACTCCAGACTCCGGAGATGAAGCTCTTGGGCCACTTGTCGACTCTAAGCGCATTCTAAACAAATTAAAATTCAATTAAAAAGATGAAATGCCATTTCAAAGCTTAGAATGGGGCTGTCTGCCAACAGTCATTGCGATGCAAAAATTTCCTGCCTGAGTGAATTGGCCGAGTTTCTGTACTCTAACCCTTGGCCAAAAGAAAACTCGTCACATTCAATTCATTTAGCGGCAACACGTTATCGCAGTCGGCCATCATTACTGTCGCTCACAGCCATCCTCCATGGTAACACGGTAAAAAAAACAAGTTAAGTTCTGACATTTATGCTTTGAGTTGTGGTAATAGTCCAATCTAAACTAGGTTGTTTATTGAAACTTATAGTCTATCTTATACCAACTTCTTTGTTTTTTATCTGGTAAATACTTTTGTTTTCTGTGTATAATAATACCCGCTGCAGTTGAGGCTGGTGTGGAGGAGAATCATTAACGACTCGCCGCTCGTCACTCGAGTGGGACTTGAGCATCATTTCCAATTACTGGGCCCCCAATGCAGACGGCTTAGCGGCTGTCTTTGGGCGATGGCAAAGAATTTCCGTTGATGATTTTTGGTTGTACCAGCATCTGTCCTCTGCCGGTCACGGTCATCCTTGTGGCAGCTCTCATTATGGCCACTGCCGTGCCCTTTGGCGGTTTTAGCCGCCAACTTCCATTTGGCCGCCTGTCCTTTGTTGGCTGCATTAAAATCGGCGTCCTCTCCAGTTTGCGCCATTACAGATTCCCCTTGTCGGCTCGCCCTTTTGCAGAAGTCCTTTTTGTGGGGTCCTAGGATTCGGTTCGATTTGGCTTAATGGCCGGCAGCATGTTGTCACTGGTGGTGCCGTAATGAATTGGCTGTGCTCAAATCATTTGGCTTAAAAATCCCGCAATTATTCTGTGAATTTACATATGATTTTCTTTAAAAAATATGATTTAAATCCAGCAAACATCGTCTTCTTTACGCACTGTGTTTATCAATCGTTCGAAGTCGATTCCTTTTCCAAATTGATTGGCAATGAAGAGGAGAAATACACCACTCAATGGTCCTCTCGAGGCATCGATCTGGAAATCATCTTTGCTCCAATTAAAGCCAGGTCTCCGGGTCACTTGACGCAATTAAAGGGCTTGACAATCGCCGCAAGTAAAGAAGTCCTGCCCCGCCCTGCCTCATCCAAACCTGGCAATAAAAGGAGCTTAATTTAAAATTTAAACCCTTTTTGCTGGAGGCAGCGACCGCAACGTTTCCTGTCCCAGTCCCGAGTCCCCGGTCTCGGGTTCCCCAATCCCCGCATTGCTGGATTTCTGGGTGCAGTGATGAAAAAAATATATTTTTTTTTTGTGCCCTTCCGGCGGCGGACGTCGAGCGGAGAACGATCAAGGACCAAGCAGGACGACAGCAGGGCAAATAATTTTTACAAATTATACGCTCACATGCCAACTGCGAAAGGAAAGACAAACAGAAGTCCGGCAGGCGAAAAAAGAATTATATAGAATGCGAGTAGGGGGTTGGTTTGGGGGTAGAAATCGGACGATATCCTCTGAGGAAAGGCAATAACAAGTCGGTCCGATGATTGGGTCCGCTGCCGGCCTCCGACTCGATTGACTGCACCAATAATAACTTCAAACAATGGTTGGCCGTCCAAGTAGTTGGCCCATTCCTCTCCGATTTTCCACCACTTTTTTACCCGGCTCCACGGTCGACCATGTTTGTTTAATTTTTGCCACCGCCACTGCGTCTTGATTCGCTTTATTTTTATACACTCTTCAAAGGGTAATATGATTGTGTAAGGCATCTTGCAGAGAAGTTAATAGAAAGATATATCTAATAAGGTACTTAAATTAACTTAAATATAGATCCCTATTCATAGAATACACAATAATTTGGTTTCATTTAACACATAACTTACTAAATAATGTTTTTTGGGTAGTATAAGATGACTTTTTGGGGTTTTTAAATTAGTTAATCAACCTACAACTTTATCTTAAAAGGGTAAAGAGTATTTAAATCTTCGATGCTTACGCGTTTATTCTCTTCCCGCTTTCATTCCTCCTTGCCTTGATGCCTCCGATGCCTCCATTGCAATTGTTCCAATCGTCCGCCAACTGCTCGTTTCCGCTTTTGTTTTTCGCTCGGGCTTTTCATCTACTTGGGCAGCAAACAGGCTTCAAATTGAACGGAAGCTGGCCACGAGTTATGCCCCGCTAGTTGGCCCCATCGTACCAATACCCGGCAAGGCTCACTTCCTCCCACCACCCACCGCCCAGCACCCAACGCTCATCTCCTGTCCAAGGCCGAGTCGGAGGCATTGTTCCATATCGTGACTCCTTCGGCTATCCCAGCATCTTTTGTTGTTTTCCCTGGCGGGGACAAGGGGAGTGGTACGTGGGAGGTGGCTGAGCTCCGGTGCCGCCCTTTTGTCGCTGCGCTTCCGCTAACCTTTTTTTCCTCGATTTTTTTTCTTTTCGTATTTTGCTCTCTTTCTTTTCCGGCCCAATTTTCCTGCTGCGCTGCTCCTTTGGTTTGA